AAAAATACGATTTGGGCATCTTTTATAAACGACCAGGATAAAATACTAAAAACACTAAAAATATTAGACGCTCAAATCTATTTTTCCAAGGCTCCTTAAAATTACTGTTTTTAACACAGCCATGGCACTCTAGATTGAAATTTAAAATACAATTTTATTTTAAGCGAAAATATCAAAAATTGACATATGGTACGTCAGTCTATTCACAGTGTCATTTTCTACCAAATAAAGTAACAAAATACCGAGGGTGGAAAATAACAGGAAGTGGCCGAAAAGAATTGAATACCTCCTATCCAAATCTACCAAATCTCGTTTTTTATCTGAAAAACTAAAAAAAGTTATAGGGATGAGCCACTTTTCAGACGTACCCGGTATACAATGTCAAAGATTTACGAAAGGTCAAATTATAGAAAGGTTAAATTTTATTTTCATTTTTAATCTAATTCAAAGCAAAAACAAACGCTGGAGTCAAATTTCGCTATACATGTATCAGTAGGAGTTGGTCATTTCAAATGCCTCTATGACGCCGTTTTTTTGCTATCAGGCGGCAGTTAGTAATATCACACACACTGTAATTTACTTTATTTTACTTATTCTAATATTTCATTATGTTCTTAATTATTGTTCTTTTTTACTTTTAAGTGAAAATGTAGCTTAGTATAGGGAAAATTGAACGCTTTCTTTTAAATTATTTCTGAAATGTTTTATTTTTCTGAAAACATAAAACTACGCTATTTGTTCCCATAACCGAAGCATAATAATTTTAATAAGAAATGCCGTGAGCTGTTAGTAAAGGAAAAATTTAAATTAGCGAAATTTTTTTAAGTATAGTCTGTCTAACCGGAAGTTCCCTGACAGCGACAGTTGTGTTGGTAATTTTAATTCACAGACAACTTATATTTTCTGTCTTTTTTTTTGGATGTCGGCTGTCAAAATATTCCCTGACTAATTGGACAGACTATAATCTTCGCGTTCTTCATTTTAAAAAATATAAAATGTTGAAATAAAATATGTATGTATAAAATATATTGTAGGATGATTAATAAAATAGTAATTAAAACGATTTTATTTGGTACAGCACTTGTGCTCCGCCGTAATCTGCATTACACAAATATGATAAGATTAATGTCAATCAATATGAAATATAAACATTGTATTTTGTCTATATGATGCACTTTTATCGGATTATTTCAAATGTGAAAAGTTTTTTTAATGCAAGCACATTAGGATTATTATGACTTGATTGATTATTTATTTATAATTTTGTTGTATAAAATAGTAAGATAATATTTTTATCAGTCTACAGGGAGTTTCAAAACAAACGCGCGCAAAACTGGGTTGATTTTTTGTGAATAATAAAAAAGGGTAGTTTTGAGTCAAATGTCAACCCATTACAAAGTTTACAGAATATATTTTTAATGCTGTAAACTTTGACCATTAAGGGTTTTTATACAGGGTGGTCCGAACTGTATTCCGGAAACTTCGGCAGCATATTCTGCAGATAAAAATATAAGTAAAAAAGTTCGTATACATGTATGTCCTAAAATGATTGGTTTCAGAGATACAGGGTGTAGAAGTTTCATTTTTATTTCGATTTTTTTTCAAATAATTTAAAAAAAACGTCAGTATTTGGATGAAAATTGGTGTCTGGGAATTTTTTGACATAAGAAATTTGATTTTAATCAATCAGGCACCTAATTGTCGAGGTCGCCACCTACATATTTTTAACTAGTTTGAAGAATAATAACTTTTCGTCCGTACCTGTATAAAACTACTGAGTAAAAAAATATACATTTACCACATTTTTTACGTAAAAAAGTTCTCTTGGTAAAAATTGCTACGAGTAATGTTTTTCGAGATATTTGGAATGGAAATTATCAATACCTATCATCATTGACATAAATTAAACATGTTGACTAAATAGTTATTAGACTGAAATCATAAATTTGAAATGTTTTCGTGCCAAAAGATCAACAGAAACTGTTTTATCATATTTTTTTTCACATAAAAATGTGTGATTGATTTTAAAAAAAAATAAAATTTCTCTCAAAATGGTTATTTCAGTCAAATAACTACACTCAACGTGTTTATTATTTGTCAATAATGACATGTATTGGCTATTTCCATGATAAATATCTTGAGAACGGTAGAGAGAAGAGATCTTTTTTATGTAAAAATTCACGGAAATGTATATTTTTTCACTCAGTAGTTTTATACAGGTACGGAGACAAAAAGTTATTACTCTTCAAACCAGTTAAAACACATGTATTAATATAAAAATCCAAATTTCTCATGTCAAAAAACTCCCAGACACCAATTTTCATCTAAATATTGACCTTACTTCAGAAATTATTTGGACAAAATCGAAATAAAAATGAAATTAAGCATTTTAGGACATACATTTATAGGAACTTTTTTACTTATTTTAAAAACAATTATGAGTTTTATATCAGCTTATACATCAGGCAGGGCCGGCGGAAGGGCCGAGCGACCCGGGCGGCCGCCCGGGGCGCTGCATGCGAGGGGCGCCACGACGGCAACTGAAATATTTAAAAACACTAATCTAAACAAATAGTAATGAAAAACCAGATCAATAATTAATCTTTTACTATCTTTTACTATCAATTTCCACATTAAAATATTAGCAATTACCATACCCACATAGGGAAGAAATATCTACTATAGTAAACGCCACGAATGTTTGGGAGTGACTTATCGGTCGCTACCATGTGAACTAATCTGTTCAAGATCACATAAAACTTAATTCCAGTGCCGTGGTGTTTCAAGTCATTATAATAATCAATATATAATCTGTTGTAATTTGTTGTTTTAACTGTCAAAGTCTTGTCAAAACATATATTTGGTTATAAATATAAAATGGAATGCCCCATTGGTCGCACTGTAAGCACATCAATGTGTGTCAATGGACTGACGCACAAAAACGAATCAATCAAAGAAACGCGATATAGTATGGTCTTTGTCAATCACGCTAACATTTTAGAGTAAGTAAGTAGGAGGAGCGTAGGCAGATGATTAGACCGGGCCTTTAAAAACTACGTCTGCGGTAAAAATTTACGTTTTTAATGTAAAAATGATAGCGCGCGTGTCGATTCTAACTTCATCAAGCGATGAATCACTCCCAAACATTCGTGGCGTTTACTTTACTAAACATTATAAACACTACTATATCCTAGACGTATCCTATTATAGTTTACTGAAATTATGCTCAAAAAAATCCTTAGCACGAAAGCTTTGGGATAGTTTTGAATTATCCTTTTCTATTAAGCTTTTCTATATGTATTTTGGGTGCTCTATTCGAAACTGGGATTTGCGAATTCATTTTCGTTGAAGAATCTTAAACAAAATAAAATAAAAAATATAAATTTGATTTGTTCGTGGTATTTTATACTAATGTTTTCAAAGATCACTTATACCAGAACGAGACTGCCGAAGTTGGAATTCTATTTCTTATAGCTCTATATACCGGGTGCGTCTCAAAAGCGGCTCACCCCCTATAACTTGTTTATTTTTTCAGATGAAAAAACGAGATTTGGTATCTTAGTAGACGACATAAATTAGGATTAATTGGATGTATTCAATTGTTTTTTGTCACTTTCTGTTTCAATGGAAATGACTACAACTTTTGATTTTTAAATAGCATCTTTGGTATATATTAACTATTATATTTTATACTTTATGCGATAGGAAAAAATGACACTTTGAATAGAATGACATATTATATGTCAACTTTTGACATTTACGCATATGATTTATTTGAAATTGTAGCATCCGGTTCATAACGGCGAATAATTTGTAACAATTTGACTCGAAATACCAAGTGTGTGGTTTCAAATTATACGAAAAAAATGCTTTTGCCAAATTTACAAATGAGCCACCCTTGTTTCATTTGAAAAAAAATAAGATATGATTAAAATAAAATCATTAGACGATCAAATCTATTTTTCCAATGCTCCTTGTTTAAATTAATAAATCAGTGTTTTTAACACAATCATGGCACTCTAGATTGAAATTTAAAATACGATTTTTTAAGCGAAAACGTTGAATACGTCAATCGAACATAATTTATGTCATATACTATATGACATACCAAATCTCGATTTTTTATCTAAAAAAAAAATAAAAGTTATAGAGGTAAGTCATTTTTGAGACGCACCCGGTGTAGAAAAAACAATAACCGTAGACTAAGATTGAACGAAGAGAAGAATTTTGAAGTATCTTTAAGTAAAAAATTATTGTTAAAGTAGCATAAATATGCTTAGTTGTAGTTAAAGTATAGTATTGAAGGAAAGAGAGAGTTATAATAACTATTAGAGGGGGGGGGGCGCCAGATATGGTACTCGCCCGGTCTCAATATTTTCCTTCCGCCGGCCCTGATATCAGGTCGATTAAAAATTGCCTGTCAGTGCGTAGCCTAAACTTCCGTAAAATTTCTCTATTCAGCATTTTTTCATAATTCTAAAAGCAAAGGAAATAATCAACTTTATTGTTGACTCGCCCTGAGTAATAAAAATACTTTCAGCAGTTTCTAAACAACAAAATCTCTACTTTTTGATAGCAAAGTTTGCGTTATCGAAAAAATTATGTATTCTGTCCTAATACAACGATCTGTTATCACAATCTAACTTATCTATATTTATACTAGATTACACAACTTACACGCTTACTACAAAATCGACCCCAATTCTCATTAATTACACCTATATACGCACCATATATACTTTTCCCTATTTAACTGCTAAAAAGGCCCTTGCTTTATATCCCTTACCCTCCGGATCTGGCACCACTCTAACTGCCAGCACCTTTCAGTGTGTTTTTTTACCTGTCTTCAACCAACCGTCTTTCAGTGTCTGTCTGTTCGCCGGTTTAAACGCGGTTTGTTTATAGTTGGTGTGCTGTTGCTCGAATGCACGAATGCGATGAACTATGATCGAAAATGCGGTGTTTTCCTGTGATTTTTCTGAATGTTTTGGTGATTTTAGCTGCCCAGCCGGTGATGGAGACAAGACCTAGGAATATGACGGTGTTGGACGGGCAGGACGCGACGTTGACCTGTAGGGCAGCTGGCGCTCCCGTGCCTAACGTAACGTGGATATTTAATGGTAAGTGATTAAAAGTAAAAGTCTGTTTTGTGTCTGGTGTAACGTACGTATTATAATGTAAACTGAGTAAGCAGAGTTTTGCTCAGTATATTTTTCATTGTAGAAATTATTTTTTATGTTCGTATTTTGATACAGTATTAAATTTGAAAATTAATAGTGGGCATTTGTTATTGTTTTTGTATACAAGTGCAAATATTTTTGGGGGTAGTATATTTCGACCCCAGAAGCAAAATTTTGAGGTTTTTTTCGAGATTTTTTTTTGTAAATTCGGAATTTTTTGAGAACATTTTTGGATTTTTTTTTAGTTTTTAGTTAAAAAACATAATTTCTTGATAATATGCCAATATAGGTAGTAGATTAAATTTACAAGAAAGAAAATCCAGTGGTTCTCAAAATTTTAGCAAAAAATATTTTTTTTTTTGGAAATTTTCAAAGTAAAATATCTCTTTGTCGTTTTTTAGATTTATTTGAAAAAACGGTAAAGAGAAAATATGTTTCTTTTATCGAGAACTACCGGCCCTGAAAATATTTGCACTTATTTAAGACTCGCCCTGTATATGTGACGAAAGACTTTTGTCAGATCTCCTGTTTGAGTTTTTAAGTTTATTTTATTCTCAAAATATACGTAAAATGGTAAAGCGCGTTTTGTAACTGTTTGATAGTTACACAGGATGGTTCAAATATATTTTAGCACTAAAGTTGTATTTTTAAACGGTATGTTGTAATATTTTTGTCCAGTAAATTTGTCATAAAATGTCCATTTCAAAAATACCATATATTAATAATCCACAGTATGTCCGGATTGTCTGTTCAAGAGGAAAAACTTTTTTATTATTGACATTTTGAGAAAAAATCATTCTTCATAAAAATTTTCGCTTGTTTTAAAATGGCTAATCCCGTTTTTACTTTTCCAAATTTCCATACCATTTTAGAGAAAATAAAAAAGACATGAAAATGTAGTTGAATTTTTTCCAAGTCCTAAAAATCAAAACGCATTTCTATGGTAATATAATTTCTTTTTCATTCTTTGATAGCATCTTTGATAGATTTATTATTGACAGAATTTTAATTAACGTCATATTTTTTGCTGCTTTAAAATGTTAAAAAAGCACAAAATTTATTTAGTTCAATGCTACGGAAAGGGTGGTAATAGTTATTGGAAAATGTGATACTTTAACAACATCAAAAAATATGACGTTAATCAAAATTAATTATAATGATCTATCAAAGCATGAAATCGAAATTATATTACCTACCATAGACACGCCTTTTAATTTTTAGGAAAAAAGTCAACTACATTTTCATGTTTTTTTTCATTTTCTCTAAAACGGTATGGATATTTGGAAAAGTAAAAACGGGATTAACCATTTTAAAACAAGCAAAAATTTTTATGAAGAATTATTTTTTCTCAAAGTTTCGTCAAGTACACGTCAAGAGTCGTGAGAATGCGCCATTAGATACTACTAATTTTCTTCTCGGCTTATGACTATTTCCAAATAAAATATCTTTGACTTTTACTCACGCGACTTTTTTTGCGGATATAGGGGCATCGGCAAAGTTTGCAGAATATATCGGTTACCGATCTGGAAAAACGACACGCGCCGTGGAAATCTTAATATTATCGGTATCGAGCAAAGTACCGACTTTAACTGGAAATAAGTCGTTAACCATTTGGAAATCCGATTTAAATAGAAGATTGATTAAAATAAAAAAAAAATCGATTAAAATAAAAACAAATCTTTAAAAAAATTGTTTTTTTTTGGACTCTGATTTTATAACATAAATTTTTTTGACACCCTGTATTATGACATAAATTTTATCGAAATTATTTTTATATCCAAAATTAATGTTAACAACATAATAAAACAAAGAGATTAAATAAAACTCTGTTTGTTTATGATACCAAATACAGGGTGTTCCATTTGAAATAGTGGAGAAAAATACATTTAATTTAGGCCGAAATTTTAGTAGACTCAATTTTGGGAAAAAGACGCTATTCGGGAATCCCGGTTAAAAAGTATCGAAAATGTTATATTTTAAACAAAATGATAATTAAAACTATGATAAGATTAAAACAGTTTTAATCATCTGCTGATGATGCTACATGGTTAGCGAAACGCGCGTCCAGTGCAAAAGTAAAAGTGTTTTTTTTTCAAACGTCACAAAAGTATTAATATTTGCGACGTGATTGACAATATATGAAAGTCATTTATCGCCTAGTATTAAAATTAAAACTCTTGAAATTGTTGAAGAAACGCTTGAAATTATTTAAAGATCATTTGTGGCGTTTGGAAAAAATAGCATGTTTTATATGGAGAAAAAATGCCTTTTTGTGCCTCGCCTGCAATGTCAAACGTACAGCCTCACCTACAAAAAGTGTCATTTTTACTCCTAATAAAACAATATACTATTTTGTATATTGTGGCGAATTAGTGTTTCATTTTGATGTCGAAACTATTAAACAGGAAAATTAGCTTTATTTCTAAACACAACAAAATAATAAATACCCAGAACTTTCAATCACAGGCTAATAAACTATTTTCGAAAATGATTATATTAATAGCTCGTAACAAGTAAACAATTAACAGAACGAAATTTCCAGAATTAATTGTACTCTAAATACATGTAATTAGTGAGGAAATAACAGTCTGTTTAATAAATATCAAATTAAATCGTGTTTAATAAACACATCAATAAAAAGTAAACAACGTTATGTTTGATGCTGAAAACCTATTAAATGTCATTGGCATTATATTATATGTGTTAATTTTGCCTGTTGTGTTTATATTCAATAAAGTCGATCGGATATGCGTTAAAAATAACTTCTTTAATATTAATAATTTTAGTCTGAACATTTCGAGATTTAGAACATTATTATATTGCTAATGACTGAAGAATTTGATCTATTAGCAGTTACGTTTATAACCGATGTGAGCGTTCATGTTTCTTGTAATTTTTAAGGTTGGGTCGAATTTGAGTATAACATACCGGATGTTTCTCAAAAGTGGCTCACCCCTATAACTGTTTTATTTTTTGAGATAATAGAACGAAATTTTTTTGGTATGTTAGTATATGACATAAATTAGGATTAATTGACGTATTTAGTTCTTTTTGGTCGCTTCCTGTTTCACGGGAAATTACTACAACTTTTAAATGACACACTCGGTATTTTTTTACTTCTTTGATAGAAAATAGCATTCCGAGTAGAAAGACATATCATATGTCAACTTTTTCTATTAAAAAAATAGCATTTTAAATTTAAATTTCGAGTGCCATAGCCATAAATGTAACGACAATTTGACTCGAAAGACCAAGTGTATGGTAACCAAATTCTTCGTAAAAAAGGCCTTTTCCAAATATGCGAATGAACCACCCTCGTCCCATTTGAAAAAAAAAATGAGTTATGATTAAAAATACGATTTGGGCATTTTTTTAACTGGCCAGAATAAGACACGAAAAACATTAAACGATCAAATCTATTTTTCCAAAGCTCCGTAATTAAAAATTAGTGTTTTTAACACAGCCAGGGCACTGTAGATTGAAATTTAAAGTATTTTTTTAAGAGAGAATGTCAAAAGTTGACATATGATATGTCAGTCTATTCAGAGTGTCATTTTCTATCGAATAAAGTAAAAAAATATCGAGGGTGCCATTAAAAAATCAAAGTTGTAGCCATTTCCGGTGAAACAGGAAGTGACCGAAAACAATCGAATACATCAATCAATCCTGATTTATGTCGTATACATACATACCAAATCTCGTTTTTTTATTTTGTTTTTATCTGCAAAAATAAAAAAGTTATAAGGGCGAGCCACTTTTGAAAAACACCAGGTATAAAGGCTTGTTAGCTGTTTAGGCATAAAGGCTGCAACTGCTTGTTAGAAATGGTCTATTTTCGAAATAATAATTATACTTACATAGTTTGTTCTTTAGGCGAGGAGGAAGTTAAGACTTCTAGTAGAGTACAGATCCTGCCAGACACAGGCGATCTATTAATAGCAGCTGTAAGAGAAAGGGATGCTGGTGAATATACTTGTATACGAGCAAATGAGGCAGGCGAAGTTAGAGGAACAGCCTTTTTAACTGTATTAGGTAAACTACAAATATTTATTTTTGAGATGCGGATAATTACAAAGATTTTTATTTTCTAGTTCGAACTCAAATAGTTCAACCTCCTGTAGATACGAGAGTTTTGCTAGGACATACAGCTACACTCCAATGCAAAATTTCTTCGGATCCAGCTGTTCCATATGAGCTGGATTGGTTTCGGGAGAAACAGTAAGTGTTATTTTCTCATCAAAGATATTAATCAACTTTATTTTTTTAATAGTTGTATTTATCATATGACTGCTTATTCTAGAGATTCCGCAGTTTACTTTTTGCATGTATGTGTGTATGATAAAAACACTGAAAATTTATATGATTTCCAACCCTATAAAATATACCATGTATATAAATTTCCAACCCCATAAAATATGCCATTTTATATCTGTTTTGTGCTCTTCGGTACAAACTGATATTTTTAAATATTTTCTCGTAAACCTATTAACCTCTCTAAAACTGTAGCTACCATATCCTGATTTTTGTTTCATATTTGTACTAACTGTAAAGAAAATACCATACAATCGAAAAAAAGGCGTCAAAGATGGCTGGGGAATGAAAATCGATGATAATTTTAGCGAGGTCAAGTCCCAGACCACAAAATATACACCATACAGAAGCGACAAAGAGATTTTCTTCAAAATTTTTAGGAGGGGGCAATGCTGGTTAACTGTCAAACGTGACGTCAAAGAATTATACACCAAAAAAAATTCACGACCGCAGGCATAATTATTTCTAGATATTATGCATAAAAGACTAAAAAATATATTTCATAATTATTTATTTATTTTTAACTCTAAATAAAAATACTGATTTAAACCCCTTTAGTTTTTAAAAATTAAATAAACCTGCCTTTCATCATTTTCTATTAAAATCTAACAATTTTCTTTCAGTGTGAAATGCTGTTCAAGGCGCACGGATGTCAAACGTGACGTCACGCAATTAGTTCCCATTTGACCAATGCTATTCAAAGCTCTTTGTCGCTTCTGTATGGTGTATTATTCTGTGCCCAGACGTCGTAAAAATGATTTTTAAATGGCGTAGTATAAAATTCCAGAAGATTTTTTTTTGAAATAGATTTGTGTGCCTGAAAACTTCCTTTTTTAATCTTTCCATAATTAGTGTCAATTTTTAACAAATTTTATGTCAATTTTTAACAAATTTAAAGTCAATTTTTAATAAATGATTTCCAGAGACCGACCTCGTCAAAATTGTCAGATTGTTATTCCACTGCCGTCGTTTTTTTATCATTCGGTTTTATTTCAAAAGTATTAGCTTAGTTTTTCTTATCACCGATTCTGAACCGTTACCGCGCATGCGCAGATGAAAAAAAAATAATAACTCCCGTATATAGCGTCTAACGCCTTGGGAGTAGCAAGGTACAGCTTGCCATGCTAGAGCCATTTGGCATATAAGGAAGGTAATGTGGCTAGCACTACGCTTCAACCGCCTATTATTACCTCAGGATTGTGAATCTTAAGTACTCATTTAAGGCTGAGTCGTCCTAGGTACCTAAACTATTTTTATTTTAATAAAAATAGTCGGCTGATGAAATGCTGGCTGTAGAATTCGAACCCACACCTTCACATTGCTAGACGAGAGCTGTACCTCTACGCCACCGGGCACCATAGATGAAACAATTGCTGCATATATTACTCTGCGCAGGCGTATTCCATTTCTAGGATGGTTCAGAATCGGTAATACAGAAAAGCCGAAGTAAGCTTGTATGACAAAAAAGTATGATTAAGCAGGCGTTGGATGTTGACAGATAAATTGAGTGATTGGTAATTCATAAAACTTTTTATCGTGCAACACATTATCACAGTAAACAAAACGGCCTACTTTATCCACTTTAAATTTATTTTATTCATGAATGGACTTATAACTGACTTAGAGTAACTGCAACGACGCGACGCGACGTCCCGTAATCCTGCTGTTAAAATATAACAATTGGTTTTTATATATAAAAACCAGCTGTTATGTTTTAATGGCAGGATTATGGGACGTCGTTGCAGCCACCCTAAGTAAAATAGATAAATTATAGACCTCATAGAGAAATAATTTTTAAAGCATCGTAAAAATATTATAGTCTGTTTAACCATAGAATTTCGGCCAGTGACAGCTACGGTTTGCCATTTTTTGTTGTTTTTCAAATCAAAAGCAAATTATTTTTTTCTGTCCATTATTGTCTATCGTAATCGCCGTTTCTTTCACTGGACAGACTTTATGACTAGTTTGAGGAAAGTTTATTTTTCACCTTCAGACGAGGCATTCTAATTTATTTTTGTATGAATTTTCAGACCTATCAGAGCAACTCAAAGAACGAGTGTACTTCAGGATGGAACCTTGGAAATTCAAGCTGTCAGGGCTTCGGACGTGGGACAGTACACTTGTTCGGTACGATCTCCTGGAGGGAATGAGACGCGTTCAGCCAAACTCAGTGTTATCGAGCTGCCATTTGCTCCTACCAACGTTAAAGCAGAAAGGTATATACAGTTTATACCAAATAAACTTTTAGTCACGTGATTAAGCTTGACCGGCACAGCGTTGCCACTTTTATATATTTTCTTTTAATCAAAATATTTTAGAAAACATAAACATAAATTAATTATAAATTTATAAACAGTTATAATATACCGTATGATCGAAAAAAAAACGGCGTCCAGTTGGCTGGGAAATGACGATCAATGACATTTCCCATATAAATTTACATATAAAATGACAGCGATCTTCATTTCATAGCCATCGTTGACGCCGTTTTTTCTCGATCATACGGTATAATATATTTACATCGACAAAGCTCACCTTCTTAGCAGTACTTAAGGGACATGAAAGACCGTTACTACCGATTTACCGTTAAAAATATTCTAATAAAGTTGCTATGAGTTTTTACGGCTATTGAGCTATCTTGTATACTTCGCACTAAAAGAGGTTCTAAAAAGAACAGTGTTCGACTACAAGGTCTGGTAGTAAACATTTTTGAGCTTAAAGTATGACAACACTATTTATTTAAACAAAAAATACGAAAAATACAAAATTTTAAAATTCGTCCAAAAACCCGTTTTTCAATCTCCTGTGTCGAAATCTTCCCTTTGGACCCAGACTACATTATTCACATATTTCATATATTAAATATACTCTGTACAGCTAGAAAAAAATACGATTTCGTCGGTAGACGATATCCAAAAGTTACAGATTTTTTTTATTTCATATTTTTTCGCCTTTCACTGAAGAAACTATATCCATGACGCCGATGTTTTATTTGTATAATAAAAGTTTATATACTTGTATGTCGATGTTTTTTGAACTAAAAGCAACAAGATTAGAATTTTAATATTTTTAATTTTAAATTTTAGAGTGGACTCTGGAGGCCAGAGAGCTGTTAATGTTAGCTGGACACCTGGTTTCGACGGAAACAGCCCTATAAAACAGTATATAGTGCAAAAAAGAGAAGTGCCCGAATTTGGTAAGGTTATTTTATTAATAATATCCCTTGGATTTGGTTAAACATTGTTTTTGTGTTAAAAACATCCTGTTTCTTGTAGTACTAACATGATACCTATCCTTCTAGAAATACCTATGTATATTTATATCTTTGTAATATTCCCGTATTATTGCCTTTTATAGATAAATTAGTAAAAACTTAGTTGAGTTAGTTGAATTAGAGAAAATATTGCATGAAAATTGTTGTGTATATATGACTAAATATGAGTACCAAATAAACTTTTAGTCACGTGATTAATCTTGACAGGCACAGCGTTGTCCACTTTCAAGAACAGTTAACCTAATAGGACTGCTCATTCAGCCAAAAGTGTCTGCCAGGTGCATGCGAAAACTCCTCGCTTTGTGACGTCATTGTAGTCCTTGTCATGGTTATTATAGTCTGTCCAACGAGAAGATCCTTGACAGTGATAGATGTGTCTGTCATTTTAATTTCAAAGTAGTTTATTTTATTTTACAAAGAAATAAGTTGGTACAACTGGAACGCATAGCAGAAAATTAATATATGTATTTAAAATTTGACTGACAAGTAACTTCAAAATATTGTGAAAAAAACTGTACAAACCTGAAAAATTGTAATCGAATTATTTTATTTAATAAAAAACGGTATGTGTTAATACAAAACAAACAAAAACAAGACACCACATACCAAAAAATATAAAAAAGAACTATTTTTTACTTTCAAGCTTTGTGAAACTTCCCGCATTTATGATTATATTTATCAATATAATTTATGTACAAATACAAATTTGTAATATTCCGCAGGAATAAATAAAACAACATAAATAAAACAAACTATTTTATTAATAATAACACTTACCAAATTTTATACCTCACAGGTTGATTAATTAACTTTAATCTTAATTTTTAAACCAGTACCTTTTGACATTATTTTTCTGCAGTACTAAAATTCATTATTTACCTATCGTGTGATGTCGATATTTTACAGCTACTCCAGTTTTTAGTATGGGTTTAGTATGGTCCTTACCATATTCGAGATGCACTTATCTACGACGAGATGGTATACGAACTTTATTGATAGTAACTTTATTGGTGTATCTGTTTAAGACTTTCTGCCTGGGCAGCGAGTATTAACCATAAACTCAAATAAACTGTGCTCTGGGTTCTACAGTTAATTTTCACTCGATTTTTCCTCCACTTGACTTCAAAAGACACAAAACACACGTAATAACACGAATCAAAATGCATCATCTTCTGTGATCATCTTCCAAAACGCAGGGTATTTGACACAAGTTGTCACAAAATTATAACCTATATTTGGCAAGACTTTGACAAACGTCAAAAATCTAAAGGCGAGTTCATACGCATCGGCGTCCGTTTGTTGTTCATCGTTCCGTCAAACCAATAAAATTGAAATACGATCTGTCATTTTTGAAATAAACCAATAAAACTGGTTAAAAACAACAAGTGACGACGCATGACGAATTTATATTTAAACCCATCCATAGTTAACTTAAAAATTATTAGAAACTTTTTTTAGTAAAATAAATAGATTGGTATGGGACGTCATCTGCTTTTCTTCTGTCATCGTCTGTCGAAATCTTACCTGAGAAAAAAAACAGAGTATAGTCACCAATAATACACACACGTGCATTGTTGGTTGCCGGATGCAAAAGTTCATTATTTAGTTTATTTAGTTAAACGCCTTATGTGTATGCAGTATAGAAAATTAACTGTATAAATCGTAGTAAATACTCGGATAATGCATTTTTAAGAACAGCAGTTCCCAGCATCACCTTTTGCAGGCATTCTTTTTAAAGTACTTCCATATTTTGCTTTAAAATAATAATAAACAATATCGTAAGCACTTAGTAAGCACTTTGTCACAATCCACAACACAAAATAAACGTATTTATACACTCTATAGCTCTAAAAACTTTAAAAACACCTTTTTCACATTTAAAATTGACAAAATAAGTAACTCAAAATTTCTCAGCTGTCATTTTTATAAGTTTACCATAGGCAACTAATAATACACACTATCATGACAAGGACTACAATGACGTCACAACTGTCAGCTGAAGCGCGGGAAGAGGCGAACGTACGTCTTATGAGGACGAGCAATCCTATTAGTTTACCGTTCTTGGTCCACTTTTATATATGTTCTTTTAATGAAAATATTTTAGAAAACAAAAATAAATTAATTATAAATATATAAACAGTTATTATTTATTACATCAACAAAACTCACCTTCGAGCCCTCGATGACGTAACTAAAAGTTTATTTGACATGAACCGTACAAAGATTACCACACACTTTTACTTCCTAATTAAACAAAAATAGTTAAATGTTAAGGAATTTCAACCAAAAGCAAACAACCAACTGGTCTTCTCAATTCAAAGGTAAATTTATTTTTATGTTTATATCTCTCACGGGACAGACTTTACATATTAAATTTACTTTAAATACATACTACTATATCTAATTAGATTAGAAGACAATCTAAATAAAATAATCTAACTTTTTAAGAGACATTTTTTCTTAATTTATTATTTACCCCAAAAAGATCTCAATGATTATTCTAAGCGCAGAACCTTGTTTAACCTAGAGATAAAATAGTTTAAATGAGTTATATAATTTAGATTTTTTAAAACTCTTTTTACGCATCCTACATACTAGGCTATACAAAAAATGTGAAGCAGCCAGTGGGTACAGTCAGTTTGGATTTAAAAATGGGTTTGGCACGAGAGAAGCTATATTTAGTCTACAAACACTGGTCCAGAACTGCCTCGACCGGGGAAGGGATGTATTCATGGTGTTCATTGACTACGAAAAAGCGTTCGACAATGTGAAACATGACCTGTTGATAAGATACATGCAAGACCTAGGACTAGACAATAAAGATATCAGAATAATAGCTAACCTGTACTGGAACCAAACTGCCGAAGTAAGGCTTCAAAATTTTAAAACCACCGAAGACATTGAAATAAAGAAAGGGGTAAGGCAGGGCTGTATTCTCTCACCTATGCTATTTAACCTGTATGTAGAAAGAGCATTTGCCGAGGTAATGTCAATGTGTACAATTGGTATAAGAGTAAATGGCATCCCAATCAATAATATTAGATATGCCGATGACACAGTAATCTTGGCAGACAACGCTGACGACCTTCAAGCACTTCTGCATATGGTTCAGGAGAAAAGTGAGCACCTGGGCCTAAAATTAACTCAAAGAAGACCAAGTTTATGGTGGTTAGCAAAAATAACATCCCTGCCACCCCTTTATATCTAAACGGCATTCTAATAGAGGAAGTCACTAAATTTAAATACCTAGGCTGCCTCGTTACAAACAGATGGGATCCAGAAGTCGAGATCAGAAGCAGAATTGAACAAGCTCGATCGACTTTTCTTAAACTAAAAAATTCCTAACGAATAATGATCTCAGCTTTCAACTCAGATATAGAATGGTTAAATGTTATGTCTGGTCCGTCTTGTTGTATGGTGTCGAAGCCTGGACTCTTAAAGTAACCTCGATAAACAGACTGGAGGCATTTGAAATGTGGACTCTTAGAAGAATGTTTAGAATCCCTTGGACAGACCTGGTAAGAAATGAAGAAGTCCTTGGAAAAGCCGGTCTGACTAGCCGTGAACTATTCGACGCCATTAAGAAAAGAAAGACGTCTTATTTGGGACACATCCTGCGTGGTCCTCGTTATGAATTCCAACGTCTTATCCTACAAGGAAAAAGGGGAATAGGAAGAAAAAAACTTTCATGGCTCAGGAACATTCGACAATGGACGGGAATACATGACTTTATGTCTCTCCAAAATGCTGCTTTAAATAGAGAAATCTGACAGGATGCAAATGGACGGTCGCCTACGCAGGAATCTGCTTGGCACTTTAAGAAGAAGAAGAATATAATTTAGGAATCCAGGAATCAAAAATCAATACTGTAACATTTAATGTTTTATACTTAAATTTAAAATTAAAATAAAATAATTATATTTCGACATTTAAAACATTAAAATTCATTATTTCACTCTAGACTATGATTTAGGTGATGCATTTGAATAAACTAATCTCGCTGTATTAAGGAACATGTTGCTCTGTATAATTCAATTTGCTAAGACGCTCCAAGATCATTAATTACCATTGAAATAGAAACACTTCCTCTGGAAATATATATCGCACATGAATTTGTTACTTCCGAGTACACCTAAGTAGTTGAGATATGAACAAAGTGACGCATCTGGAATTATAATATATAGTCCAAAGATTTTGCAACGGTGGTGTTTTGTATTTTTTGTGCCTATGTATAGGGTATTAGTTAAAACTACCTTATAGCAACCACTTTATGGAAATCCTTCCAATAAAGACAAATACACTTTTTCTTTAATAAAAGTAAAAGTTACAAAGGGCTCTAAAAATGTTGTGTTTTCCAACTTACGAATATATCGTGTGTGATCGTAAAGTTTTGTGATCAAGTGGGCTATATTATGACTTTAACAGTTAAAAAAATTCTCATACAATTTCAGATAAAAAAAATTGTCAGAGGTTAAAATTCAAAGCATGCTTGATCATAAATCTTTTAGATATTTTACTAAAGTAAAATGTATCACCCTCATATTGTGTTTGAGGTTTTACATTTTTAGTTTATTGTTGTGCTATGAGTTTTGTGCTATTCAGTATAGATCTAAATACATACAAATTGTATAGTGTGCATATATTATGCTACTCATGCCTATAACCCTAAATATCTCTGAAAACACCTTCTACAAGGATAAAAGTCTATACCGGGTGCGCCTCGAAAGTGGCTCACCTCCATAACTTTATAATTTTTTCAGATAAAAAAGTGAGATTTGGTATGTTAGTATATTATAACATAAATTAGGACTGACCTCGGGACTGACTGACGTATTCAATTGTTTTTAGTCACTTCCTGTTTCACCGAAAATGACTACAACTTTTGATTTTTAAATGGCGCCCAAAGAATATACCTAGCTAGAAAAAGACTCTGCCATACTGAAAAATGGTCCCACAGAAGTGGCGCCATCTATTGAATAGGGCTTGTTTTAAATGGATCGAAGCGCGGGCTTTTTAAATGAGCATATTTATTGAATTTTACTCTAAAATAATTAAATTTGATTATTAAATCTTATTTTTTACACAAATTCAACAATACTAATAACAAGTATCGTTGTGATGTGTAAAAAATAAGATTTAACAGTATAATTTATACAATTATTAAATAAAATTAAAGCTAAACATCTGTAAATATTATTTATTATTTAAAGTTTTTATTTATAAATCAAATATTTAAACATCTTTTATTATAATAAAACATGACCAACGTAATACGTCCAAAGTTTTGTAAATGGAGTAAGTATAAATAGGTACTTAAATGATGGCAAAAATAAAAGACTTACATTATATTTTTAGGGCCACAAACAAAAGGAATTGTCTAATTAAAACACATATTTACATTGACAAATTATAGTTTGAAAAACGTTTTGATAATCATTTGATAATATTATGATTGGCGCTATGACAACGACAATATTTTTTGAGAATTTGACAATAGTATTACAATACTATTGTCAATTGACCGTTGGAAACTATGGAAACTACAAAAAAATTCTGATTTTGCGCCATCTGGCAATAACTCGTAGCAACTTCTTAACCTAAAAATTAATTGCACTACCACCTAGCGCCTGAGGCTGGAACTATTTTATTTGAAATTTCCGTGGAAAAGGTGGAACCGCTTTTGCTATTTCACTTTCCCGCCCCTGATGGCGCCCTCGGTATTTTTTACTTTATTTGATAGAAAATGACACTCTGAATAGAATGACATATCATATGTCAACTTTTGACATTTTCACTTAAAAAAAAATCGTATTTTAAATGTTAATCTAGAGTGCCATGGCTGTGTTAAAAACGCTAATTTTTAATCTTGGAAAAATAGTTTTGATCGTCTACTGTTTTCCGTGTCTTGTCCTGGCCAGTTAAAGGATGCCCAAATCGTATTTTTAATCATATCTCAATTTTTTCAAATTGAATGAGGGTGGTTTATTAGCATATCTGGAAAAAGCATTTTTTACGAATAATTTGGTATTTCGAGTCGTTATGAACCGTATGTTCAAATAAAACATAAGCGAAAATATTGTCATTCTATTCAGAGTGTCATTTTCTACCGAATAAAGTAAAAATATACCGAGGGTGCCATTTAAAAATCAAAACTTGTAGTAATTTCCGGTGAAACAGAAAGTGACCAAAAACAATTGAATAAATCAATTAATCCTAATTTATGTCATATACTAACATACCAAATCTCGTTTTTTTATTTGAAAAAATAAAATAGTTATTGGGGGTGAGCCACTTTTGAAAAGCACCCGGTATAAACTTGATTAGGTGTATAAATCTAACCCGTATTATCGTAACAATATAACGCGTATTATCCCGAACTTAGAGTTTGCAGTTTTATTACTTCATATTCCTTTAGGTAGTTAGACCTATTGTTTGTCTTAATTCCACTCACAAACTAACTACGTTAGTAACAATGTCGTGCTGTAGTGTATCCTGTATATTGTATCGAACTAACCAAACAACACAAAAACATTGTTTAACTGCATGAGCATGTAAAGACGCTTTAAATTCCTTAATTATGTTTATTTGATGAATTCTATTGTTAAATACTTTCTAATATTTTATGTTATTAATCGTAGATCGTCAGAGTAATAAAGTTACTAATGAGATACTCTTCTGTATTATCTATATTTATCTATAATCTTGGAAAATTGAATACTCTTGAACCTTGTTTCTAAATATTCTGAATTTTTTATTCTTAATCGGTGTTTTCCCGAACGTATTGGGATTTAGCCAAGAAAATTAAAAAAAAATTAGTTTATCTATAATTTGTCTAAGTTACCTTAACTAATACTCACTGGGTTTATATTAGGTATTTGTGTTAGTTTACATCTGTAATGTGTTAATATAATTACTGTAAATTGAGATTCAGTTTTTCCTATATACAGGGTTGGTCAAATTGGACGCTTTTAAAGGGAAACGCCCTTTTCTATAGGAGATAGAGGAAAACTAATATCGGTGGTGGAGTTCAATTTTTATCAAAAACATGATAGTAAAAACTGCACATCAATATCTGTTACAGTTTCGGAGTTGCGGGATGTTTTTAAAAAAAATTTAACAAATCGTTGTAAGTTTTTTCCCATAAAATTTTTTGTATTTTTATGAAAACATTTCCAAAGCACCTTTTTACGTAGAATTAAACTAATAATTTAAAGGTTATCAACAGAAAAATTGATTTTTTATATGGGGCACCCTGTATATTTTTAATTCATCGAAAAGAACTTAAAATTACATTTTTTAAAATATAACATACTTGATATTTTGCTCGATTCCGCTTCGAGATATAGAATTTTTAAAAATGTCCCACTTTGAATAAGTAGGCTTTGAACTGCGCCGGCCGTTATACAGAAAACAAATGCTTACCGGTAGCTGTCAGCAGCAATTAAAACGAAAATAATATTTACAATGATAGTTGCAGAATTTTATAACAATTTAAACTATCTTATAACAATTTAAACAACAACAACACATTTAAACTATGTTATCTAATAACAATAATAATAAGTAGCAAACCATGACAAGAGATTTTGCTACAGGATGTGTTTGAAATGTCGACCTCTGTGTCTGTGTCGACCTTATGCACAGACGGGACCATTTCTGAACATTTCTCGCGGCATTCATTAACTCAGTGGGGGTGAAAGATACCCTCGCATAACCACTAAGCACTTCTAATTCTTGTCTAGAGTATACGCGATTTAAAAATAAGATTCTTTAGTCTTCCTCAAAGTTAAAAATCCATAAGCCGTAAGTCCGGCAGCCCCGACAGCTAAACGCTTGGACCTAGGTTAGCTATTCAATTATTCCCAAAATTGGTTGCAAAAAATTGCTGATAATTTCAGCGTTGTGAGACGGTGCCTTGTCCTGCTGAAAAAATATGTTTTCGAGTTTCATTAGGGGCAAATCCATCAATAAGGGATCCAAAGCCTACTAGTTAAGTTGTGCACTTTTAAAAATTCTGTATTTCCAAGGGGATTATTAACAAAATATCAAACAATTAACAAAATATCAATTGTCCTATATTTTTGGAAATGTTCTTTTTGGTGAATTAAAAATATACAGGGTGTCCCAAATAAAAAATGATTTTTTCTGTTGATAACTCTTAAATTATTAATTTTAAAAAATATATATTTAAACCATTAAATTCTACGTAAAAAGGTATTTTGGAAATGTTTTCCCCACACTCCGAAACAGTGAACACCCCGCAACTCCGAAACAGGAACAGATATCGATGTGCGGTTTTTACCATCAAGTTTTTGATGAAAATTGAGCTCCAGACACCGATATTAGATTTCCTACAATGACTCTATCTAATGATTGATTATATGAATATATGATTTCACCTAGCATAGAGTATTTTAAGTTAGCGTCGCCCTTTTGCAACCATAATTAATCTGAACAAGACTTACTTTGTTTACACGGATTTCGAACCGCGGTCCGAACCGAAGCAAGTATCTAAATCGATTCTTAATCACGAGATATCCGACATCTGGATGATGTTTTCCAGACCTTCACCATTCTTCCGCCCAAATACACACATTGTTTATCGCTTAACATAGATGATCAATAGGGAACCAGTGTTTCAACATATCTGGGTTAGTTTGCCTCCGTGAAAACTCCGTGATAAGAAAGAACCATGGCACAGGAAATTGAAACCGTCTTTTATTATAAAGAAGAAAAATCTAACAAAGAATATCTTTATATATTTTTCTTTCTTGGTTTTAGGCCAATAAATAGTTTTCCTTTTATTTCATCAACTACATTTATTTTAGTTAATACTGTCTAACGTTTCGACTATTTTTTGGTCTTCATCAGAGTCAAGAACGTAGATCATAGGAAGAAAACTTCATAAAAAAGAACCACGTTTTAACAACCATAAAACAACCATAAAAAGAACCATAAAGTGTTCTCTCAAAGTCGAAACGTTAGACAGTATTAACTAAAATAAATGTAGTTGATGAAATAAAAGGAAAATTATTTATTGGCCTACAACCAAGAAAGGAAAATATATAAAAATATAATATTAGAGGTCAAAGCACATATAAAAACAAAAAAAAAACAAAGAATATCTTTATGACTTTATTACTCTGAGATTAGAGACGTATCGAGCATGCTCAGCATCCAAATTATGTCATATCGTTTCCAGCCCAACTTGACATATAAGCAGTGTTATTGTGTTTCGTAAGTTCCCCCGATTTCAGGTCCCATACCCGACCCTCTGCTGAACTGGGTGACGGAAATCAGCAACGTGTCCGGCGATCAGCGATGGATGTTGCTCACCAACCTCAAAGCGGCCGCGTCGTATCAGTTCAGAGTCAGCGCTGTCAACAGCGTGGGGGAAGGCAGTCCCTCCGAACCCAGCAATCAGGTTATGCTTCCTCAAGAGGGTAAGTAGTCCGGAATGGTGGTTTTTGCTATTTTAATTAATTAATCATTGCCTGTTTGGAAATATCGATGGCTAGCTTGAAATAAAGTTATGCATTTTCAGTGTTTTTACATCATTTTAAAATTTATTAATAATTCACAACTGTCCTTCAAAAATTTTAACCGAAAAAAACCTCCCAATTTTTTTTTCTGGTTTACACAACGACGGCATTTCGGATAGTTATATCACTATCAGTTATATCAACCAAATCTAAAACTCTATGTCCTAAGCTTACGCTTGGTTCTTTTCAGTTCATTTTAAAAATTCCGACCCCAGCGCTCGAAACGGCAGAAATTAGAAGTGTCGGGTATAAAATATTTGACGCAGTCTCGTTACCGTTTATGTCGATAGCATTAAAATAATATTGAAATCGTGGTTTTGTCATAATATTTAAGTATTTGATTTTTTACTAGTTCAGTTATTGAAACTATAAAACACTCAGGTACTAGATTTGTGTGATGTAACGCTAAAAATTAAGTGAAAAAAAAACCGAATTAGGCGTCGTGTTGTAACAATTTCAAACGTTCATAAAAATGCCGAAAGAAATATTAACGCGTAAAGGAGGGCGTTGTTTGGCGCAATAACTCAACTTTCCCGGATATTCAACTCTCCCGAAACAACATTTTATAGCTTCAAAGCTTCTCACGCGGATTTGATCAAAAGCAAAAAATGGCTTCAAGCATTTGAACGAAATAAGTGAGTAAACAAAGAGCTTATTACATAACCAAAAAAAATAAATAGGCATATACTATGAGAGGATAAAATATAATTTGCAGTATTAATGGTATAATTTTTTTAATCAAATAGTGCTTAAATGTTTTATAAACATCTTCTAAAATTATAATTATGTACCTTTAAAAAATTTCATTATAGCCGAAATTATTCCCAGTTATGATCCCACTAACAAAACCGGTCCGTAAAACTATGCTCGCTACAGTAGTTGAACTAAAATGTGTTTTTAGTTGGAATAATAAATTATAACACAAGTTAGACATTCTGAAGATATAAAATATTTACTTTTTTATTTTCATTTTTAGATTTTTCCCAAATTATACTTCCTTAACACTTTTAGAATAATTATATAATAAATTTTTCGTATACTCGCTATTTAAACGCCTGTATTTGTACATACCATTTGTTTACGATGTTCTCCGATGGTGGCAGCACCGGCAGAGAATGCACCAAGCCTATAATGAGTTTAGAAATATTTATATTTAATAGATTTGAATTTTGAAGGGCAGTTTTTAAATACATATCAAAAAACTAAAACATATTTGTTTTCCCAAAGGAAAACAGTAACTTGTTTTTATTTGTTTTTTATCATGCAGGCAGCTCATATAAATTTCTGTTTAAAGGTGGGATCATTTTTTCTCTCTTTTTGCATGATTCGTTGTCATGTCCTCCTACTTCATTCTCTATTTGCAATATACGTATAGGGTAAACACATTTATTATTATTAATATTTTTGTAACATTTGGTGAGTGAAATACTTCGCAACTCATGTGCTTACTACCATTTTTGTCAATAAAATTACCTTTTTAAATGCTTCATAAATTTTTAAACCGCAGCATGAACATAAAGCCTAGTGGACATGGTCAAAGTGTACTTTGAGCAAATATACTTGGAAGCTGCGCGCATCTCACTTGGACGCCACTTGGATCGTATCAACCTATTTTAGATCAGTTGATACGATCCAAACAGTATCTAAGTAAGACGCGCGCAGTCTCCAAGTACGCTTTGACCGTGTCAACCACAGGCTTAAAGGTTAAAAACTTTAAAGTATTATATATAAGACAAAAGTGTATTTTTTTTATTTTTCTCAAACTGATGCATGAGTAAATAAGTGGTTCTCTATGTTTGCACAACTGTTTCTACTTGTTTAATTAAGTGACATATATTTTTTTGGCTTACTTGTATTACCTCTACAGCATGATAAAAGTCCTTATTCAGTTATCTACGTCACGACTGTGAAGCTTACTACTGTAATATTCTGTGTAAATGTTTATTATTCCTACTTTTGAAATTTCAAGTAATATAACAAGCAATTTTTCCTTATAGCGCCTTCCGGACCACCTGTTGGATTCGTCGGATCTGCAAGAAGTTCTTCTGAAATCATCACCCAATGGCAACCACCTCTGGAAGAACATAGAAACGGGCAAATTCTAGGCTACATTATTCGATATAGACTTTATGGATACAATGATAGCCCTTGGACTATTAGAAATATTACAAATGAGGTAAGTAATTTTTTTCTAATTACCTTTTATCTTTCTCATGATAATACAAAAAAACATCCTATATTCTTCTTTATGCAGGCTCAAAGAAATTACCTCATAACCGATCTAATCACATGGAAGGATTACATTGTACAAATCGCAGCGTATAACAATAAAGGAGTTGGTGTTTTTACCGACGGTGCCAAGATAAAAACCAAAGAAGGAGTTCCCGAAGCGCCACCTATAATTCAAAGTGCGGATGCAATAAATTCTACGGCAGTCCAAATACGGTGGATACCTCCAGATCCACAGAAAATCAATGGCATCAATCAAGGTAATATTAGCTTATTTTATTTTTTTGTTACCGATTCTGAACCGTCCGCGTCCTAGAACTGTGATATGCATGCGCAGAAGGAAATATGAAGAAATTATTTCATTTGCGCATGCGCATAGGACGGTTCAGAATCACTAATAACAAGAACCCTAACAAAGCTATTGTTTTTCTGTATTTCATAAATTCACTGATAATATGTTACCTAGACACGTCCTTCTCAGCATTTTAAAGCATATATAAATCTTTGATTTATCCATTAAAAAATAGACTCTATTTAGTGTAATTGGACGATATAATCAACGGTTCATACTAGTGAATAGTCTATGTTTAATATTATACCAAAAATGTTCCCACAGTAACATCTCTGGCAAGAGAATATCTATCAATATACAACCTCCAAAAAATGACAGGAAAAAACAATTTACCTTTGAATTATAAATGACATTAAACTGTCATTTTAATTGAAAATATATTAATAATATTATGTTATTTTCTTCTCGGGGGACTTGTAGCATATAAAGGAATTAGAGATCGTCGTTACAGAGAAAGAATATTATTAACCAACTTTCCTGTTTTATTTTTGTGGAATACCAAAAAGATGAGTAATATAATTTTTGACATATTTCAAAAATTATTAGGTCACGAATTATATGAAACCTCGCTTTAAAATAGTAGGTAATTACCTAAACACAGTCTGTTGCATGGAAACCTGAAGCCAACTAATTTATATCAAATTTCGACGTCTATTATAATTAATTATTGGACTAATGTAGCCCTAATTACTAGGCCAATTTACATACAATCTTTACTCTGAAGATTATTCGAAAAGTTATATATTTTAATATCATTCCTAATTAACATTATTTTAAACATGATTTTTTAGTAGCAGGTATATGTTAACCATTCTATTTTGAAGCAATTTTCAGTTTTGTCGTTTGGGCTAAGAGTTGTTGAGTTTTTAAACAATTGGACGATTATTTCAACTCTATAACGACTTGGTCATTCTAAAACCGTGCTCCTTATTTTAAAATGTAAGACATATATAAAAAGTTGACTATATTATAACCATTTGGTTGAAGGAGACAGAGACCTTTCTACGAAATACTGGCACAGATTATACAGATTATAATCTTTGTTTTTTCTTTATTGTTTTTCGTGGTTCCAATTTTCGGAATCGGGCACTAGTTAGGTGACTAGTTTGCGCACATAGCACGCCCACTTATGGCCTCTAAAATTGTGCACAGCGCCTGGCCGGCACAGTTATTAGAGAGATATCGGAAAACCGAATAGCGTCATCCAGTATTTACGCGTACCTTATCATGGTTACGATATGCGCGAGTCAACGCAACACCCGCTAATTCCTGTCCTCCATTCGCGAACTTCGAGTTCCGGGATTTACGCCCTGAGGCTACTCGAGAACGGTTATGAAAGGAGCGGTGCGCGATAGCCTGGTGCCTCCATATGGCGCGGAACAGTTCTGGAACTTTATGACTCAATTGAATGGAGTGAGAGTATCACGTTCTTGAACAGTTCAGAGCTGCCCAACTGCGTGAAAGGAGGACAGCAAATAACGTTACCGCCTGACGTAATTTGCGGATCAATTACACCAAGCTCTTTCTAAATAACCTCTGATAACGTTTAAAAATTGCTTAAATGGGCATGTGCGGGTATTTGACAACCGGAGCCGGCCGGCGAGATCTTTTATTTTAGGTTATGTTTGAATTGTTTTGAATTACTTCTTTAGTTTTATTAGGTAATTTGATATTTAAGTAGCTGGGATTAGTTTTAATTAAATAAATATGGTCCAAAATATGGATTCCACCTCTTCCAATACTAAAGAACCTATAAAGAGTCTTAGGTTTACAGCAGATGACGACTTAGCCCTTCTAAGAGAATTTGTTGCTTGTTGTCCTAAACCCATTGGCAGACGTTGAACAATAAAGCACTATAAATAAGCACTTTAGCCCTTTAGTTTTAAAATACCTAGTAAACAAAACAATTTCAAAGTTTTAAATTCAAAGTTAGGTTAAGTTTAAATAGCGGACGCGACGCGATTAGAATTCTTTCCGATCCGATAACTATAAATGAAGAGAGTTAATACCACCTCACGTAAAGGAAATAACACCTGGCCTTATTAATGTCCATGCACGCTATTCGGTTTAGCGATATCTCTCTATTACGCTATTTATTGTTATTTTACGCGAGTTTATTTTTGCGCACAGGAAATTTGACTCGTTTGCACATCGTCATAAAAAACAATTTTCGTACCACGAATTAGGGACAAGATTTTTATCTGTATACTTATAGGATACCTAATCTGTGATACTGGTTTCTACGTGTGATAGGCGTGGTTAATGATGGTCCAGATTACCAATAAGCTGCCTGAGAAACAAAACTTGTAATATAGCTTGAGGTATTACAACTGTAGTGCTGTAGTAGAATAACTACATAATTATTGACAAATTAATCAATGAATTTCAGCTTCAATACTAACAAAACGTCACTTTAGGCAGCTTGAAACTCTTGATGGAAAATCCGGCAATACTAGATATAAAGAATGTGTTAACACTCTTTGTCTTTTTTTCACATGTTTGATTTTTCTACTAGGATATCTCCATCATTATCTTACATTCTTTTGTGGACACCATCATTAGCATTAATGCATTCTTTTGTGGAGAGGACGTGTCAAGTATAACATTAAATGTAAATGTCTCTTCTAAATATAAATTCCTTTATTAGGTTATAAAATACAAGCTTGGAGGTGGCTTCCTAACAGAGGACACGTCGAAGCCAGCATGATGACAGTGCATCCGAATCTCCTTGATCCGTACGCGGAGCAGAGTGCTCTCATGACGCATCTTGATAAATTCACGGAATACAATATAACTGTATTGTGTTTTACTGATCCTGGCGATGGAGAAATTAGCGATTTTGTTCATGTCAAAACCAAAGAAGATGGTAAGCAAATGATGCTCTATACTTTTAAAATTGACTTTTTTCATATGTTCAAGGAGATTTTTTTGAAGAGTTCACTAACAAAAAATTTAAGAAAAAAACTATATTTAAAATAGCGAACAGCTATCACAAATGCTATCTTTCTCTATAGGCTCTTCTATATTATAAAAATAATATATATTTTATCTTATTTTCTTTATAATACAATCTATGTAACATAATATAACCATTTATTAAAATCTTTTTTTCTGTACACATTTTTTAAATTATATTTTAGTTCCCGATGAAATATCGAACTTACAATTCGATGACATCAGCGATAGAGCTGTCAAAGTACTCTGGCAACCACCCAAGAAAATTAACGGGATATTAACAGGATACCAAATCCAATACCAAATCAAAGACATGCCCGAAACGACGAAAGTGCGAAACCTTTCGGCCAGCACTCTAAGTTTAAAAGTCACAGAACTCCAAGCTACTACTCATTATAAATTCGAAGTGACAGCGTGGACAGCCGTGGGTGCCGGACCACCGAAGATCGCTATAATTCAGTCAGGTGTCGAACCAGTACTACCTCATCCTCCATCAAAACTGGCTCTCTCCAACATAGAAGCTTTCTCTGTTGTACTACAGTTCACTCCTGGCTTTGATGGTAATTCTTCTATCACCAAATGGACTGTGCAAGCCCAAACTGCGAGGAACGCTACTTGGTTTACGGTTTACGAAATAAGCGATCCCGACGCTACTACTATAACGGTGACAGGATTGGTTCCTTTTACGCTTTACAAGCTGAGACTTATCGCTAATAATGTGGTTGGAGCTAGTATTCCTTCAGAAGCGACCAAGGAGTTTCAGACTATTCAAGCGCCACCTGCACATCCACCTAAGAATGTGACAGTTAGGGCCATGAGCGCAACGGAATTGAGAGTACGATGGATTGTGAGTACTTATTGTAAACTTATATTTTTTCTAAACTTTACATAATAAGTGATGGACTTAAGCCAGAAAAACTTTGAACTTCATTGCCATAGATAAAGGAAACAAGTTTAGATTGGAAAGTATCCATAAGGACAACGTAAATACTATTTGGCGTTATCCTTACAACGGTCACTCTCCAAAGCTTTTGATAATTTCGGAGCGGTTCGGCTGTTTCCGGAATTATGCCGCCAAATATTATATATTCAAATTTATTTTTTCTTTTAATTTTTTAAATAAAATACAGTGTGTTGCATATAAGAAACTTTATTTTATAGGTATGAAATACCTATGAAACATTAGAAACCGACGCGACGTTTCGCCACGATCCACGATGATTTTTACAGTTCACACAGATCTTTTAAGTTTTTAATGCCACTTTTTCACAACTATCACGGGTTTGAGTAAATAAAATTTGAATTAAACTCACTAGATAACAATAATTACTTTGAAAATGGACGCTTTAAACACTTTTCGGTATTTTTTCAATGAGGACATTTTAAAAGATTTCATAATTTTTGAAGATTCTGACATTGACCAGAGAAAATTATTTCTGTTCTTGTTTACGGTTGTTCTTAGCAACCGCTATAGCAGCGCCAGATCCCGTACAACGTATGCACCCCAAAACAATTATAAGTTTAGCGGCAAGCCGAGCATTCCAATCTGATGTTGTTTCCCTTATCTATGTCATTGCATGTCTATCATGAACTCTGTTTTAAGTTTCCAAAAAAAAGTTTATCTCTTATTGTATTTTTTAAACCAAAGTTTATCAAATATTATGCCACCATCATGTTATAATTTACAGGTCCTTTTAAAAACCAAGCTATAGAAAAAATAATGACCTTTAGTTAAATAAAATTTAATTTAAATAATCTATAAAAAAGATCATAACAATAAGTAATAAGTTGTTAGAATTTGAGGTCACTATCACTGCATTTCAATGACATTTGTTTTTTTCTAGCCTTTACAACAAATTGAATGGTTCGGAAATCCTAGAGGTTATAATATCACTTACACTGAAGTGAGGACTGGATATAGCTACAGCGCAACTATAGAAGACCATACTGCAAATTCCCACGTTGTAGTGGGTTTAGAGGAATTTGCTCTATACGAAATCAGAATGCAAGCCTGTAACGACGTAGGTTGTTCCGCACCAGGTCCAAAAGCTCTTGAAAGGACTAGAGAATCAGGTAACAAAAATCACTTTAAAATTTTATATTTTTTCTAAAATAATTAAATATTTTAGTACCCTCCTTTGGTCCTATGAATGTTGTTGCTAACGCGACTTCATCCACTACTATTGTAGTGAAGTGGGGAGATGTACCGAAGGAACATCAGAACGGTCTTATAGAAGGTTTTAAAGTATATTATGCTGCTGATACTAAAAGTTCGGTAGACTATAAAACCATCCCTAATAATTCGACATTTACCACTACATTGACTGAACTGAAGAAATATGTTATATATCACATCCAGGTTAATATTTATTTTAAACGTTTTGAAATACAATACTTTACACTAAAAACAATTTCTAGGTGTTGGCATATACAAGGTTAGGTCATGGTGAACCCAGCGAACCAGCTGTAAGTGTCAGGACATTTGACGACGTTCCTGGAGCTCCTTCTAACGTTTCTTTCCCTGACGTATCGTTTACCTCAGCCAGAATTATATGGGACATACCTGAAGAACCCAACGGCGAAATCCTAGCATATAAAGTGACCTATCACATACACAACGTCAATACAAATAATAAGTACTCCAAGGAATTTGCTCCATCTGAAAGAACTTTCAGGTTTACTCAGTTAGAACAAGAAAGGTATTACATGTTCTCTGTGAGCGCCCAAACTAGGTTAGGTTGGGGGAAAACCGCTCATGCTTTAGTTTACACGACGAATAACAGAGAATCGCCACAACCTCCTTCAGTTCCACAGATTAGTAGATCGCAGATACAAAGTAGAGCGATTACGTTTAGCTGGACACCTGGCAGAGATGGATTTGCACCGTTAAGGTTTGTTTTAGATACATTAATGGTAATCCCTCTTGTAAACATTTCTTGTCTTTCAAATAGGTATTATACTGTCCAAAAGATGGAAGAAAATGGACCTTGGCAGTCCTTACTTGAAAGAGTGGACCCTCAATTAACTTCTTATACTGTTTCAAACTTAAAACCTTTCACAACATACAGGTTTAGAATACAAGCCACTAATGATATTGGTCCCAGTAGATTTAGTCCAGAATCTGTAGAAGTCAGAACATATCCTGCTGGTGAGTTGAAATTTGACTCTTGAGGTGATTAAATTATCTAATATTATTCTTGATTTTATTTTAGCTCCAAGTAGAGCAGTGGCTGGACTAAAAGCTGTACCTATAACAACAACAAGTGTAGAAGTATTTTGGGTACCAATTGAAGAACCGTTTTGGAGTGGGGATGTTAAAACTGGAGGTTACAGAGTTGTATTTCAACCTGTCTCAGATTTTCCTACAGCTTTGCAAGCTACACCCAAAGAAGAGGTCATGGGAATAAATGTAAGCTGTTAAATTTTTCTTCTGGTACTTTGTTTATAATATTTTTTTATTTACTTATAGGCAAGTAAAATGGTATTGAGCGAGCTTCTGCAGGACAGAAACTACGAAATCATCGTGGTACCTTTTAATCAGCAAGGAGAAGGACCAGCTAGTCCTCCAGTTACGGTTTATGTAGGAGAAGCAGTACCTACTGGGGAACCAAGAGCACTACAAGGAGAACCAGTATCTTCAACCGAGGTCAGGTTAAGATGGAAACCTCCTCAGCAACATATGCAAAACGGCGAATTATTAGGTTACAAGGTTAGTAATTTCTAACTCTTGTGTTTATCTCTATGTTTAATATTATTTGTTTACAGATATTTTACTTGGTCATAAACTCACCGCAAAAATTAGAAGTTGGTAAAAGATGGGAGGAAGAAATTGAAGTGGTTGCAGCATCCACTACTTCCCATAGCTTGGTGTTCCTAGATAAATACACTGAATATAAAATACAAATTTTGGCATTTAATGCAGCAGGTGACGGACCCAGGTCTCATCCAATTACAGTTAAGACACTTCAAGGTCTTCCAAGCGCACCTGTCAATTTAAAATTCACCGAAATAACAATGAACAGCCTGATGGTCATGTGGGATCCACCAAAGAAACCTAATGGAGATATCATTGGTTATATAGTGACTTATGAAACTACTGAGGAGAATGAACGTAATATATTGATTCTCATAGTAATCAAAGGATCTAACTTATGTTCTTGTATGTTTTAGGATTTAGTAAACAAGTTAAACAAAAGGTATCAACGAATTTCTTGCAAGTGCAAAGTTTGGAAGAAGAGATTACGTATACTTTCACTGTAAGGGCTCAAACAATAGATTATGGGCCTCCAATATCGAATAATGTTACTACCGGACCACAAGAAGGTTCCCCGGGTTCGCCAAAGGAATTAGTAATAGCAAAGACGCTATCCAGCGTTGATTTACGATGGTTAAATGGACCTACTGGAAAAGGACCTATACTTGGATATTATTTCGAATCCAAAAGAAAAGGTATATCGTAATTAGAAATATTATGCACAAACACTATTTTTTTAATTATTTTTATACAGGGTGTCCCAGAAATAAGTGCAAGTATTTTAACTGGTGGTATATTTCGGCCTGAGAAACACACCTAGGAGGTATTTTTTGCGAAAAAAGAAATTTGAAAATTTGGAATTTTTTGAACAAAAATTTGGAATTTTTTTTAGTTTAAAGTTAAAAAACATAACTTCTTGATAATACGGCAACATAGGTAGTAGCTTAAATTTACATGAAAGAAAATCCAGAAAAGATCCAGTGGTTCTCAAAACTTTAGCAAAAAATAATTTATTTTTTGGGAAATTTTCAAAGTAAAATAACTCGGTTATTTTGGACTTATTTTGAAAAATGGTAAAGAGAAAAAATGTTTCTTTTAACCAGATCTACCACCCCTTAAAATACCTGCACTTATTTCTGGGACGCCCTGTATAATGTCAAATCTAGATAGAAACCTTTGAATAAGAAGACTAAGAAAGGAGCATATCAAAAATCTTAGGTACACCGCGATAGGCCTCAGATATGGCCGACTTAAATTCCGGTTTATCAGTGTCGTTCTAATTTTATTTAAAAAATGTAAAACTATGATGTAGGGTAGACGTGGGGTAGACTCAATAATTTGTTGTTTTATTTTACGTTGTGAATAAATGTTGGTAGTTATTAAAATTGTTATAAAAATATATAATTCTAATAAAAATAGATAAGTTATAATAAGTATTTATTAACACAAACATCCGATACGCTACTGAAGCAGGTAAGTCAACTTAACGTATCTAAATTCTTTGACATCTAATCTTTGACAAGTAATAAATAAAAGCTAAAATGCAAAGAAAAATATATAATTTAGTTAATTTAAAGAGTGAATTTCGTGATGGGTTTACTATACGTATATATATTATATAGTCACTTACTAGCGAAAAGTTGTTCCATTATTTCACTCAATTTTTGCCGAGATCTACCGCACGCTACACAACCAACTATTTTAGAGTCTTTTTCGATAAATCGCGATAGTGTCACTGTTAATTTAAGTTCTGCCACAATTTCCATCTAGATTTACTACCTTTATACAACTATCAGTATTAGCATAAATAATAAATAACATAAAATAAGCTCCGTAAAGACTGACAAATCCACAAAATTTCAAATCAAATTCAAATGTGTTAAATGAATCTTCAAACAGAACTGTCAAGGATCCCCACCCTAGAGTTCTTCTTCCGCCTACCATGCTTGAATACATGCATTAGTCTTCTTATTCAAAGATAGAAACAAGTCTAGATCGAAAATCTTTTTGTTCCTAGGTATCGGTAATTTTATATTTAGAATAATAAGCATTGCCTTAAAAATGTGTAGGAAATTTGGTGAAAAATAATACCAATTTTTGTTTCTCTATCAAATTTTTGAGTTTTATCCAGATGCCTTCATAAAGCAGTCATAAATTTATGTTAGTATCTCGAATAGAACTAATTTAGGAAAATTCAAGAACCCTTGTTCCTTCTAGAGGAACTCAAGAAAGTTCAGGAAATTTTAATTTATATGTCTCATTAGCTTACTATAGCTGGCTCTTACTTATTATTTGTAATATACTGAATGTAATCGATCGTCATTTTCTACCCAACTTGACGCCATTTTTTCGACCAAACGGTGTCATTTTACATGTGAAATGAAGTTTAATATAAAAGCCCAAATGAAAAATTAAACAATATAACCTAATTATATTCACTTTATGGTGATATTAATTTTTAATTGTTTTGTAGATGATAGTAGGTGGCAGACTGTCACGAAATCAGACAATGGTCCATTACAAGAATTCACCATTTCATACCAAAGCCTATTACCCTCAACTGTGTATATCTTCAGAGTTATTCCTTACAACAAATTTGGCATTAGTTGTCCAGCTGTATCACAAGAATCAATTATAACTCCTTCAAAGTTATATATGGAATATGGATACAGACAAGACAGACCTTTTTATAGAACGACGTGGTTTATGGTTGCTCTAGCGGCCATTTCCATTATTATTATCATAACTATTGTCGCAATATTATGCGTTAAGAGCAAGAGTTATAAGTACAAACGTAAGATTATTTTGTGCAGTTATAAAAAATTATTTGTTTAATTTATTCGGTTTTTTTTATAGAAGAAGCTCAAAAGACTTTAGAAGAATCTATGGCTATGTCAATGGGAGATCACCAAGAACTAGCGTTAGATTATTATAGATCGAAAAGTACTAATGGTACCATTACAGCAATGGGAACATTGGGTAAAAGAAATTGCCAAAGAAAACAAACTCACAATCAGCCACCTAATATATTAGGTATGTCATTTTAATTAGCATAGAGAAACTACATAGTAGCTTCACTTCTCGTCAGATTCTTTGTTCTTTTTCTGTCGCATTCTGTGACTTTGTTAACTCGACGCGTGCACTAGTACCAAGGGATATTGCCGAAATGCGGAAGTTTCCAAACGTCGCTGGCGGCAAAATTAAAACACTAAATCACCACAATAATACACCAAAACGCTGTTACTTGTACACTGGACGCGCGTTTCGCTAACCATGTAGCATCATCAGCAGATGATTAAAACTAAACTACAATCTACAATTTGAGCGTTTATATACTCGCTCAGTGGGCACCGAGTGGGCGTCGCAAGATCTAACCAACCGAGTCAGAGCCCACCGAGCGTAACAGTTAGATTTCCGCCACTAGAGTAATAGGAACAAAGAACTTGAAAGAATTGGACCGTTGTCTCTGTTCATACTATCTTTACATTTATTAATTCTGATGCTTTCATATGCATCTAATTGCCTGTCATTTGAGACTTGTTTAATTAATTTTAAATTATTAAGATCTATACAATGTTCTTTATCATGTTCAGCAACGCAAGATTTATCCGGTCTACCATATCGTATCTAGTGGTCTAGTGTCTAGTGTTTTATTTTGCTATGTAACACTAAAGGTTCCAACCCCCATCTGTAATCTGGTTGTACAAATATAGCTTAAACTCGAGGTCACATGAACTGTGAAAAACGCTGAACTCGGCAATTCTATTTAGGTATATTTGTCTTTTAAGATGATTAAAAGTCCAATTTAAGCTTCGAAAAGGGCTGATTCTGTTTCAATCGTCATATACCTAATTTTTGAACTAAGTTAAAAAACAGGTAAATTGGTTTTTAAAAAACATGATTTGTTCTCTAAATATCTCCGGTTAGAGAGAAGATAGAAAGTTGCGGTTTGCGCTGATATTTTGGAAATTTTGTGCTCTATTTAACTGTGCAAAAAGAAACATAGTCTGCTATTTAATTTTTTTATACAAAAGCGCAATATCTGTTCTGATGTCAAACAGCGCCTTCTAGCTACCATAAAAAAATCTATGTAAACAAAAATTATACTGGAGATTATTGGGGAAGAAAATCTCTTTTAAACTAGCCCTAGTTTGTTTAAATCAGCTAAGTCAAACCAGAGTTATCCTTATTTTAATAAACGCAAGTTTAATCTTCCCCCACCAGTTTTATGAGATAGAGCAAAATACGCTATACCAAAAAAATTAAAAATTATTAAAAAATTTAAAATACCTCTTCACCTGCATATTTTTGAGAAAAATCCTGTTTTCTAATTGGCCATCATAGATGCGCCCCCTAGCGGACATTTTTGAACTTGAAAGTAATTTCCAGCGATTTCTCTTGGTCGATTTACTTGCTACATTTTTTTCCTCAAAGTTATACGATAAGTAGTTGATACAGCCAGCGTCCATTCTTAGTTGGCCATCCGGTACTTATTTTCGCCAATTAGACTGTTCAATAATGCTGTAATGCTCGAACCAATAGTGGATTTCAACTGCAGCGCTATACATGCTGCCAACAATCTGTGAGAGTGACGCTACTATTTTTCTTATACTCTGTTTTTGCTAGAACATAATGCAATTACCAATTACTAATTCAATATTTTTAGGTAAATCTCCTCCTAGACCATCACCCGCATCGGTTCCTTACAATTCAGACGAAGAAAGTTTGAAAGGTTACGACGAAAATCCAGATGATAGCAGTGTAACTGAAAAACCATCTGAAATGAGTTCATCCGAGCAGGTAAGGTATCGCTTAAATTACTATTTGATACTCGTTTCCCAAAATTCACTACTAATAATTAATATCATTTATTGCAAACGGCTTGTGTAGTGTCCAGATGTGAAGGTAACGAAACTAATTGCCGATCTGCTCCAAATTGTAATTTTCTATTGTTCTTACTTCTGTAATATTCACTTCATTTCATAAGCACGCTTTATTGATAGCAATTTTGACATTAGATGTTAAAATATAAAAAACGAAAAATAGTTTCTTAATACTTAAAAAATGGGATTTTTAGAACTTTTAATATTAAAACAAAACTTTACTTATATATATTTACATAATACACTAATTTGCCATTAGTATTTTAAGCTTTTTTAGTGTATTGACAAAGAAGTCAGATAAGCATTGAAATAGACAAGTCAAAATGTAACTAATAAAAATTTCACAAAATGACACAAAATAATTATAATTTTAGAAACAACAATCCATATGTTAATTGTTATAAAAATATGTTTACAAAATATAAAATAATATAATTAATCCTTAATAGTATGACTACTGACCATAGAATAAAATCAATATCTGTACTCCAGAAGCAAACTATGTTGTCACAAAACATAGTTTTGAGAAAAACGAATTTAAAGTTCTTTTTTGAAGTTATTTCCTACTTACTCGATTATTTTTAAACCTATTATTGTAATATTTGGTATATGAACAACTTATTTTGAGCTTAATTGAACATAAAAAGCTAATTAACTTGACAAATATGCCAATTTTGGACTTAGACTGAATATAGTTTGCTTCTAGGGTACAGATATAGAAATGTGAGGAAAACTACCGTGAGTTTTACTATAGTATCAAATTTATATTGCTATATGAATTTTAGAGTGTTATCCCTGTTACACATAGGTACCATTCATTTTTTAAAAGAAAAGGTCCTTTTTTATCTAAATCTATCGAAGATGCTATCTGACTTGTGTTTTTTCTTGGATTGGGAAATTTATAGAATTATTATTCATAAAATATATTAGAAAAAACGAATTTTATTTTCTAGTGTTTCATGGCCTGTCTTAATAAATTTAGTTATGTTTGCATGACAATTTAAATTAAGTTTTTGAAAACGAGCTTAATAATTATTAATAATATATCCATTAGTTTAATGCTGCAAATACAAACAGTAGTCTATAAAGAAAAGTTCGCTTGCTTATTTATTATTCTTATTATAATTTAAATATGCTTTTGTCTAAAGATCAATTATTAAAATTACCAATGCAATTTATGTCGTGCAAAGGATGTAACAAAACTTTTATAAATGTATAATTTAAAGGTGTTAATTTATAACAATCATCTTAAGAGTAAGGGACAAAACAGACGATATTATAAAATTGAACTCCAAAATAGCATTCACATTTTTGAGTTGAAAGTCACTTTAAGTACATATTACATATGGAATTTAAGGCTAAAAAAGTGGCGATAGATTTACCAGGGAGTAGCAAGTAGGCTCACACTTGAATAATTTTCTAAAAAGAGAGTGCGCCACTGACTTTTCTTTCTCATACTACAAAATTTTGTGGGCTGCTTAATGCCGATTAGAAGTTGTATCTTGATATGTTGTCGATTTCGATCTTTTTGATGAGATAAATGCAATTTTATTAATCTGCCTTAATCCAAGTTATAGCAACCTTTAAAATTTTTTGATGTTATTAACTGGTCAAAGTTTTACATAAGTACCCATTGATTCATAAAAAAATATGATCTTGTTACTTTAAAATTATATTTTAAGATCTTTCTCTTTAAGAAAATTATCTTTTAAGTAATAACAATAGTCTCTCATATACCGTGCTGGCAACTCTTACTTTTGGGTCGGTATTTGCATATGTGGATGTAAATCGCAGGGATCTTATTAAGTCGGAGTGAGAGAAATGCGACGGTGTGCTGTTGCGGCGTTGTCACATCTTCGGTACACCTTTCCCTATCAAGTAAATTAAAATCACAATCGCAAACCGCTTATTTTTAAGACCTTTTTTCGAAAAAATAACTAGATAAAATTATTATATTTGTTTCTGAGAATCTGAAATGGAATTATAAGGATATCGTTAGGGAAATTCGTAGGATAGGTGTATTGTAAGGATTCAACTTTTTAACATAAACACGCTATAACTCAAGAACTACTTTAGATATTGAAACTTTTTTTAATCTGAAGTTCGGATCTTTTACAAGATGTTTAAATTCGATAGGCTTGATTTTTCCATTCAAAATTTTTAAAAAACCCATCCATTTATTTTTAGTACATAGCAATTTTCAGCAATCGTGTAACTTTTTTATTTATAAAGATTTTCACATACTGTTAGCAAAGAAAATGTAGCAGAAATATTAAGCAAGTTTTAATAGACCAATAGACTTCGAGATATCGATTTTTAAATTCAGAGTTCTAATAGCGCGACCACTGTCGAACACACACAACAATTCCACAAACCAAATTTACAATTCCACTTATTTTTACCAAAAGTGCAAGTGTTTCTAACTTGCACTTAAAAATTATGTTATAAAGTTATAGGGAAAATTGCAACGACTCGTTAATAAATAAACAAATAAAGTATCACGAGACGTAATTAAATCGTGAAGCTGAACGCATGATGTACACTCTTCTCTAGAATTTTAAGTACTGATTGGGTCGACCGGTCGACCGCGACGAATCTGCTATATCCCCTTCCACGTCTCTTAGCAATGTGCCCAGTTTCTCGGTTTATTTCATACGTTTGGCAATGTTTTTACTGTTCTCTCTTTGTTAAGTACATTATAAACGCATTGTACTCTTGTTACATACGGAAATATCGACCCAAAACTAACCTTTGCCAGCTCTTAGTATGTATAGGCGTTTAGAAGCCTTGAAATATATACCACTTTTTTAGATCTTTTACTTAATATTTAAAAAACTTTTGTTACACCTAACTTTATAGTTATACTTCGAAACAAATAACTTTAATATATTAATTTGCCATCCACGATTCTAGGGCTCTGAAAGCGAAAACGAGAGCGTCCGCTCCGACCCGCACTCCTTCGTCAACCACTACGCCAACGTGAACGACACCTTGAGGCAGTCGTGGAAACGACAGAAACCTGTCAAAAACTACTCAAGTTACACCGACTCCGAGCCCGAAGGCAGCGCCGTTGTGAGTTTAAACGGCGGACAAATCATACTGAACAATATGGCCAGGTCGAGGGCACCCTTGCCCGGGTTCTCTTCCTTCGTGTAAATAAACTTATATAGACGGAACTATTAGGAAAAATAAATTGTGTACATATTTGTTTCTGAGTGAGTGCGCAGATGATGAGAAAGTTGATTTTATATAGGGTATAGTTTAAGGAGGCTTTTATCGAATCTCATATGTTATTTATAAGTGTGGTAACGAAAAATGACTGTTAAATAATCGTTGGCATTGATGATATCCGTTTATTTTTGCTGTCTGTCATTTTAAATGATCGATTATTATGTTAAAGTTTATGATAAGTTATATCATTCGAAATTTCGAAAAAATCTTCTAAGGATGAATGAGTTACAAAAATATTTTTAGTCAGGTGTGACCTCGAAAAGAATGACAAATTTGATTGTTATAATATCATTCAATATAAATACATTTTTGTAATAAAACAAAGACACTAAAAAATGGGTATTCTCGTCAAACATTCTAGATTCTAACATGATTTTTTCTATTAAATAAGTCGAAAACATATTGAATGTTGTCTTTACAGGCCGTCGTAGAACCGCGTAGGATCTGCGGAAAAAATATTTATAAGTAAAGAGACTATGAGAAATTACTGGAAATTATTTTCAAGTTTGTAAAACGGCCGCTAGAGGGCGCGGCAACTGCTATATAAAATGAGAAAAAGGAGTTTTTACAAAATTTTGTCTAGATAACAGGTACTATAAATGATAGCTTCCTAATCTACACTAAATTTTGAATCTTTTTTGTTAAAGCCATTTTCCAGTATCTGCCGAAATAAAGTGGTGGGAAAAAAATTAATAACTCCGGACTGGATGTTCTAGAAAGAGATCTAACCTTCCCCCACCACTTTATTTTAGCAGATAGTGGAAAATGGTTCTAACAAAAAAGATATTAAATTTACTGAAGATTATGAAGCTATTATTTATAGTACATCTTATCTAGGCAAAATTTCTTAAATGTACCATTTTGTTATTTTTCATAGCAGTTACGCCCTCTAGCGGCCGTTCTACAAACTTGAAAATAATTTCCAGCAATTTCTCATAGTCTCTTTAGTTATAAATATTTTTTTCCTCAAGCCCTACGACTAATACTTTCCGAGATACAGCCGAGAGCTATTCTTAGTGGGACACCCTGTACAAATTGATATTTGTTTTTGTTGTTACAAAATCTTCTGAAACGGTTAAAAACTCGTTACAAAATAAAAAAAAAACAAAAATAGAGAAGTTGTACAAAAAAACTATTCATCTGCGAATGGCAAACAAACAGCAGTATAGTCTGTCCAACGAGAAGATCCTTGACAGTGATAGATGTGTCTGTCATTTTAATTTCAAAGTAGTTTATTTTATTTTACAAAGAAATAAGTTGGTACAACTGGAACGCATAGCAGGAAATTATTATATTTAAAATTTGACTGACAAGTGATTACTTCAAAATATTGTGAAAAAAACTGTATAAAACTGAAAAAATGTAATCCAGTTATTTAATTTAATAAAAAACGGTATGTGTTAATACAAAACAAACAAGAACAAGATACCACATACCAAAAAAATATAAAAAAGAACTATTACTCACTTTCAAGCTTTATGAAGCTTCCCGCATTTATGATTATATTTATCAATATAACTTATGTACAATTACAAATTTGTAATATTCCGCAGGAATAAATAAAACAAACTATTTTATTATTAATAACACTTACCAAATTTTATGGGTACCTTAAAGGTTGATTAATTAACTTTAATCTTAATTTTTTAAACCAGTACCTTTGACATTATTTTTCTTGTGCAGTACTAAAATCCATTATTTACGTATCGTGTGATGTCGATATTTTACAGCTACTCCAGTTTTTAGTATGTGTTTAGTATGCTCCTTCTACCATATTCGAGATGCACTTATCTACGACGAGATGGTATACGAACTTTAATGATGGTAACTTTATTGGTGTATAAGACTTTTTGCCTGGGCAGCGAGTATTAACCATAAACTGTGCTCTGGGTCTGGGTCTACAGTTAATTTTCACTCGATTTTTCCTTCACTTGACTTCAAAAGACACAAAACACACGTCATAACACGAATCAAAATGCATCATCTTCAAAAACGCAGGGTATTTGACAAAACTGACAAAAGTTGACACAAAATTATAACCTCTAATTTGGCAAGACTTTGACAAGCGTCAAAACTAAAGGCGAGTTCATACGCATCGGCGTCCGTTTGTCGTTCATCGTTCCGTCAAACCAATAAAATTGAAATACGATCTGTCATTTTTGAAATAAACCAATAAAACTGGTTAAAAACAACAAGAGACGATGCATGACTTAAAAATTATTAGAAACTTTTTTTAGTAAAATAAATAGATTGGTATGGGACGTCATCTGCTTTTTTTCTGTCATCGTCTGTCGAAATCTTACCTGAGAAAAAAAACAGAGTATATATCCTTGTGTAAGGACATATTTCTGTTTGTTTGTCTACCGCAAATGGAGACACAGCACATAGAATGTGCAAGGTATTTACACCATTTAGTTCGAATTGGATAAAATGTATTTAACACGTGGTTTTTGGCATCATATTGTAACTCTATGTACTTTGCAATGCCACATTTGGTTGAAAATCTTAAAAAATGGATATAATGCATTTAGCAAGTCTGCTCCTCAGTTGAATAAATTATTTTAAGCAAAAATTAATTAATGAGAATACTCACTTCAAACAAGTGGTAGAGAAAAATAGATGTATTATCATTTGTCATTTATAATTGAAGTAACTTTCGAGGCCACATATCACTGCAATTTATTCTATTTATTTTTTAAATTCTTCAAACATCAATATAGTGATTCCACTTCTTTGACATACAAGCCTGGAGTTGAGTATTCAAAATCCAGAAAAAAATAAAAATAAGATATTTTCTTAAATGTCTGCAATCCTGCAAGGGATGATGTAAACTTAACTGACTCTATTTTCCCCAAACTACTATAACCTTCCTATTCAACTCCAAGGGCTGTTTAAAATCACTTGTAACGAGGTTGTAAATTTTTATACTTATTTATTTCTTCATAGTTATTAGCTCATAGGTTAAGAGCTGTGACTTGATCACCCTTTACATTTCTTAAATAGACCTATCTGTGAATGCATAGCTACTTAAGAATTATTTATGTTGTAAATATCTTATTGCAATTAGTGTAATATTCGACGAATTTTTTACGTTTTTTTCTTCGGACCAAATGTAGGCATTATTTAGCGATCTCAAGCGCTTGAGTTTTGTAATTAGTATATGGGTCTTATGCAGCTTTAATTATACTACTTAAATAATTATTTTCTTGCTGCTAGGGTAGTAGTAGAGTTCAAATTTGTTAGAATTATTAGGAAATCGTTATTGGTTTTTAAATTAAATAACTTAATACCGATAAATGTGGTATTATATTTAATACCTTGATACTTATTTTTTGGCAATACTAAAGGGTAGTGCAATAAAAAAAATAGCTAAGACATTTGCATAAACAAAGGATGGAATTATGTATTACATTCTGGAACCAACTGTAATGGGATTATGAATTAACTAGTAATTCACAAATATTAATTAGATTTTATTCCAATAATTAGAAACACAAAACATAATTATTATCATATTAAATATTCAAATACTTGTTCATTAATAAATATTTTTTTGAAAAATAAAAAGGTAAATATTTTGGTATCTTTAAAATATCTAACTGAAATGCACCAAGCTTATTGCTCTCTTTAATATTTTCTTACCTTGGTAATTCTTAATTACATAGATTACTTAACAAAATAATTCATAATCCTGATTTTTCAGTCTGATCCATCTCTGATATGACCCATTTAAAAATTATAGAATGAAAAATATGTTCTTTTGACAGTGGGTTATTTTTTATAGGTTTTTATAGTGATTTAATACAGGATGATCCAACGTTCCGAAAAGCTCTAAATGAGGTTGATTTTTTTAATAAAATATGCGGGTATGGCTACGCATATTTTAAAAATATTTTAGGTAACTGAAATGAGTCAAACATATTTTCTATATTTTAAACTAAATTTGAATGCTTATTTTTAAACGAAATGCTATAGATTTTTTAACTGAGTAGTTTTGCCATTAAATTTCTTATCTAAAAATAGTATAATGTCATATCTATACCGAGTGGTTTGAAATATAACCCTTTAATGTAAATTTTCTGCATATTTAAAGGAAGCTCACAAAATGATTAAAATACCAAACTGCTTAATTTTAAGTGGGAAATATTTTAAAATAGTATTCTTTTCAAAACTAGGTACCTTAAAATACACTATATTGCATGGTATCTACAGGGTGAGTCAAAATTGTGTCATTTTGTTTTGTCATATTTTGCTCCAACTGAACACCCTGTATTTTAAGACATAAATGAACCTAGTTTTTATTAACTTTATTCTTTACACACATTCTTTATTTCTGACACATGTATGTGAAGCTAAATGATACATATGAAGGTATAGTTTTCTTTCTTTTCTTATATTACGAAAAATTGCATTTTCCTCGCTTCAAGCTCTTTATTTTTGTCTAAAAAGTCAGAATATCTACTTCGTTTTAAAATATAATTCTTAATTTGAGGGATCCAAAGTGAAATATTCTCATAAACTATTCAAAGAACAAACTAAAAATTAATTGTATTATATCTCGGAACTGCGGACCGAATAGATTCCCACGAACTAGTCTTTCAATTAGTTCCCCTCAGTCCTTTCGATCCGAGACCGGTAACAAACAGCTGGCATTTCCCACTCACGCCTAGCATCGGTCTACAATCGCGGTGGTCGATCCGTCCGTGAACTAGTCTTTTATTTAGTTCCTCTCGGTCGGAATAGGCACTGAGGAACTATTCTTTTAAGAGACCGTGAACTAGTTCCTTTCGTTCCGGGGTCGGGATAGTTCATTGAAACTATCACACCTCTATTATGCGGTAGTTAAGATGTACTTATGCGAGTTAAGATGTATAAAAAAATTTCGATTTTATAATTTTGAAAGAACTTTAAATAAGCGTCAAATTTATAGTTTAAAATGGTCATTTTTAAAAACCCACTCATGTGTTATGACATACAATTTGGAATGGAAGTTTAATGGCAAATCCACCGTGCTAAAAAACATAATATTTCATTTAAGGATACTCAAATTTAATGCGACAATATGTTCAACACGCAGTATTTTGACACAAATACAATATGATCGGAAATTTTTACAAACATTTTATATGTAAACTTATATAGGGAACGTAATCCGTCATTTCCAACTGGACGCCGTTTCTTTTTTAATCATATGGTATTTTTAAAATGGACGCAGATAATGCCCCGGTGTTTTATAAAAAAAATAAGTGAAACTTTCGCATCTGCAGAAATACAGCTGATATAGAGCTTTTTCAAAATTCTGGGCCACCCTGTATAAATGCTTAACAATTTCTATCAGTTTTTGACAATTTTGATTAAAAAGTTATAAAGTTGCCAAAAACTTTTGACCCTAGAAAATTAAACTGTACTTACTACTTATTATGGTGCGTTTAGACTTGAGCACGCACGAACTGAACGCACGAACTGAGCGTGCGCGCACGGCATTCGTTCGCGCTCTCGGCTCCGTTCAAATTAAAAACCTATTTTTCGACGAATGAAGTGATGCATTTGTGCGCGCACAGCAGAGTTGTGTTGGCGAAAATAATGGACGACCAAGAAATAGTCGAGGCTGCAGTCATTGTTATGCACAGCTTAATTATTAAAAAGGAGAAAAATCGAAAACATCGTCGCTGGTGGCAAACCCAAATTTTTATAAACCGATATAATTTACTGCAACAACTTAGTGTCTGAGGAGGGCTA